CACACGTGAGGAACACAAATGCGAACAAGCCTGAATGGTCCCCAGGACAATATGCAACTGAAAAACTCACACCCCAGAAGTGACTCGAACCCATACTCCCAGGAGCAACGCAACTGGTATGTACAAGACGCCTTAATCCACTTGACCATCACGACCGGACATAATGAGTATGCCCAAGATTACTATCCGAGTGCCGGCGGTGGGGTGGTTCAAATAGCCTCGGCTATCACCTCATTATGTCCGGTCGTGATGGTCAAGTGGATTAAGGCGTCTTGTACATACCAGTTGCGTTGCTCCTGGGAGTATGGGTTCGAGTCACTTCTGGGGTGTGAGCTTTCAGTTGCATATTGTCCTGGGGACCATTCAGGCTTGTTCGCATTTGTGTTCCTCACGTGTGCCCCAAAGAATGAGGTGATTTGGTAAAATGCTATGCCCAAGATTACTATCCGAGTGCCGGCGGTGGGGTGGTTCAAATAGCCTCGGCTATCACCTCATTGTCCGGTCGTGATGGTCAAGTGGATTAAGGCGTCTTGTACATACCAGTTGCGTTGCTCCTGGGGTATGGGTTTCGAGTCACTTCTGGGGTGTGAGTTTTCAGTTGCATATTGTCCTGGGGAACCATTCAGGCTTGTTCGCATTTGTGTTCCTCACGTGTGCCCCAAAGAATGAGGTATATATGAGGTGATTGGTAAAATGCTATGCCCAAGATTACTATCCGAGTGCCGGCGGTGGGGTGGTTCAAATAGCCTCGGCTATCACCTCATTATGTCCGGTCGTGATGGTCAAGTGGATTAAGGCGTCTTGTACATACCAGTTGCGTTGCTTCTGGGAGTATGGGTTCGAGTCACTTCTGGGGTGTGAGTTTTCAGTTGCATATTGTCCTGGGGACCATTCAGGCTATATGCCGGCGGTGGGGTGGTTCAAATAGCCTCGGCTATCACCTCATTATGTCCGGTCGTGATATAAGGCGTCTTGGACATACCAGTAGTATGGGTTCGAGTCACTTCTGGGGTGTGATATATATATATATAATATATATATATATATATATATATATATATATATATATCTATATATGTGTGTGGTATATCACGAAAATAAACACGTATGGAGGAAAAATGAAACAGGAAATTTCCTTAAGTACTTTCGTATGTGTTTTAATATACGAAAGTTGTTTTTCCTCCGTGGTCTGAATATATTATATATATATATATATATATATGTATGTTTGAAAATATTCAAACGTTTTCACAAAATTAATAGAAGCGATGATAAGGATTCGAGCCTACCTCACAGCTTCCACTGATTTTCTTATCGATACATCTCGTTAATGTGATTTCATTAAGCATAAAATTGTATTATTATTATATTTATAATGAACAGTTTCCTAGTAGTGCTTTTGTTTCAAGTCACGTCGATACAATTTTTTTTTCTTTGAAGAAACATCTAACGGAAGATATGTTGCCTTAAATAAGATTCACGAGACCAAACACATTTCAGTATATTGTTCCGTCTGGTTGAAATATGAGGACATTCTTGGCTAAGGGAATTGTGTGGTCTAGCACACTATCTTAGCCCTGATTTACAACATTTATTGGTGTCAGTGTATCTCACATTGTTCATGCTGTGTATTATGAGGGATTGTTCACACACACAGAACATAAGTTATGATGAACACTGACCGTTCACACACACAGAACATAAGTTAACAAGGTTCCTGAACCACATTTTAATCATATGACAGACAAGAACTGTGAAGACTGATGAATACAAGGTAAGGAGAGGCCGGAGCCTTCACAGTGTTCAAGTCCAGGACGAACAGCGCCGCCCACACCCCCAGGTGGGCGGGGGTGGGGGGTGGGTGCGGGGAGCTGGTATATGGGACAGACAGACATATAGCTGGGATATGAGGACAAGAAACTGGGATATTAAAACCTTGAACCGGGACGTTGGGAACAGAGAGCTGGGATATTGGGACAAAGAGGATTAGGATAAAGATGTTAGGACCAGGGTAGAGAGGGAGACGGATAGACCCGGGCACTGCCGGCCATCCTTTATAGTGTAAGGTAATATAACAAATTATCTCAAATTTACTTACATGGCGACATCTGGCAAGGACGCGGCAGCAAATTGCCAGGTACTTCAATTTCTGAAAAAAATTTGCTTAAGGTCAGGAACAGATAGTAGAGATGTGAGAGGAGGTTGTAGGGGGTTGTGGGGGGTTGTGGGGTGGTTGTGTCCCGCACAAGACTCCTACACAAACAAGAGAAGCATGTTGGTGTATGTGAAGGCGTCCTCAGGTGGGTGAGGGAGTACCTCTCAGGAAGGAAACAAGGGGTTACTGTGAGAGCAGAGACATCAGAGTGGAGAGAGGTTACAAGTGGGGTACCTCAAGGGTCGGCTCTGGGGCCCATTCTGTTTCTAATATATGTCACTGACCTGACACAGGAAACTGACTCCATATCAGTGTTTGTAGATGATGTGAAACTAATGAGGAGAGTGAGTTGAGGGGTAGATGGTGATCTATTGCAAACGGGTTTGGACACACTCCAGAAGTGATCTGAAAAATGGCTGCTAGATTTTAACCCAGCCAAGTGCAAAGTTATGATGATTGGGACAAGAGTGCGAAGATTAATATGACATTATAGGATGAAGGGAAGACAAATTCTTCAGTCAGAAGAAGAGAAAGACCTGGTAGTGGACATGACCCCAAGTGTGATGCCACAAGCTCACATTAGCAGACTAACAACAGCCGCATGTGACATACTGGCCAACATCTGTGTGGCCTTCAGTAAAGTTAGCAGACTAACAACACCTGCATGTGACACACTGGTCAACATCTGTGTGGCCTTCAGTAATGTTAGCAGACTAACAACACCTGCATGTGACATACTGGCCAACATCTGTGTGGCCTTCAGTAATGTTAGCAGACTAACAACAGCTGCATATGACATACTGGCTAACATCTGTGTGGCCTTCAGTAATGTTAGCAGACTAACAACAGCTGCATATGACACACTGGCCAACATCTGTGTGTACTTCAGTAACTTGGACATGGGGGGACTTTCCCGGCCCTATATACAGCGAAGGTCAGACCCACACTAGAATATGCAGCCTCATCATGGAACCCTTACCTAAAAATGTTAGAAAGTTTTCATTTAGTGTAAGGGTAGTGGGAAAATGGAATTAACTAAATGAGCAGGTTGTGGAAGCAAATTATTAATAATTTTACAAATAGACATGTCAGGTAAATAGGACAGGAATTATTACTTTAAAAAAACCGACGGCTAGAAAGGCGGGGTCCAAAAGCTAATGCTCGATCCTAGAGGAACAAATAGGTGCGGTGAGTACACACAGACACACAATGACACTTTTTCAGCGTCAGAGTAGTTAACAGATGGAATGCATTAGGCAGTGATGTGGTGGAGGCTGACTCCATACACAGTTTCAAGTGTAGATATGATAGAGCCCAGTAGGCTCAGGAATCTGTACACCTGTTGATTGACGGTTGAGAGGCGGGACCAAAGAGCCAGAGCTCAACCCCCGGTGTGTACAACTAAGTGAGTACGTAGAGAGAGGACAGGAAGAAGAGGGACAGGTCCGTGACAGTGAAAGAGAGAGCTCTGGTCCTATACAACACTACACCTGTTGCCTCACACAGTAACACACACGGGGCCATATACAAATGGCAACAGTTTTCAATCATGTTTAATTGCCATCCGCCGCCGTGTACAAATGTCGTGTTCAAAAACTACCAAAATCTGTTTATTTGAACATTTATTTTAAAGTAACGATTTGCGCCCTTGGGACTTGGGGGGGGGAAGCCCCCCTCCTAAAATCTATGTTCTACAGAATCGATTTAGACAGATTTTGAAAAATAATATTGAAATAAATGTGAAAATTTTGCATTTTATTTTGTGTCTTTTCCTAAAAAAAAATAAACTGGCCTCACTACAAACACAATACTAAAATAACATTTACATAATATGCAAACAATCAGAAAAAACCTATCCTTCTGGCCTAGCCTTTTGGCCTTTTGACCTAGCCTTTTGTCCTTCAAAAACCTAGGCACAGAGGCCATAAGAATACTTTATATATATCCTACGTAAGACCAGCTCTTGAGTATGCAGCACCTGCGTGGAGTCCATACTTGACAACGCATCAAATAAAAATATATAGAGAGACGTGGCTAGATGTGTCCCAGAGCTGAAGGACCTGCCGCCGAGTGGAAGGCTGAGCCCTCACACTCGTCATGCTGCAGGATATCATATGGGGGACATGATAACAACGTACAAAATATCAAGGGAAATTACCAGTCTGGAAAAAGAATAGTAAAAATAAAGAACAGAATGACCATAGGACACAGCAGGAAGCTGGAGACTAGTTCATGGTGGGGAGAACGGTTACTGGACTTCAACCCAGATAAGTGCAAGGTCATGGTTGTTCAACCAGCAACACTGCCGCTGGAGCAATAGTGTAAGAGAAGACCTGAGAGTAGAGTGCGTGTAAGACAAGACCAGCTGGGAGTAGAGTGTGTGGAAGACAGGACCTGAGAGTAGAGTGTGTGGAAGACAGGACCAGCTGGGAGTAGAGGAGAATAGAGGCAGCAGCATCCGTGCAGCTGGACACCGCAGCCTTCACCACACTACACCAGCTGCTGTGCCACCTGTGCCACCTGTGCCTGCCCCACCCTCCTCACATGACAGTGCTGCCGGGGGTGCAGAGCTAGAGCCAGGCCGGGGTATGACAGTAGTAGCAACATATGTAGACAGACAGACAGACAGACAGACAGACAGCCAGACAGACAGACAGACAGACAGACAGACAGACAGACAGACAGACAGACAGACAGACAGGCTCCCCACTGAACACAAACACTCCACCCACAAAATCGAGGTTGAAACCCCCGGGCGCCAATGATTTTTTCCGACCTGCGACGAAACTAGTTTATTCTGTGTTCCTGGAGGGAAGAGTGCGTTTGTTCAAGGGTTTTAGCTACTTCAGAGGGGTGCGGGTCCGTGGGTGCGGGTCCGTGGGTGCGAGTCCGCGGGTGCGGGTCCGCGGGTGCGGGTCCGTGGGTGCGGGTCCGTGGGTGCGGGTCCACGGGTGCGGGTCCGTGGGTGCGGGCCCGGGGGTGCGGGTCCGTGGGTGCGGGTCCGCGGTGCGGGTCCGTGGGTGCGGGTCCGTGGGTGCGGGTCCACGGGTGCGGGTCCGTGGGTGCGGGTCCGTGGGTGCGGGTCCACGGGTGCGGGTCCGTGGTGTGCGGGTCCACGGGTGCGGGTCCGTGGGTGCGGGCCCGGGGGTGCGGGTCCGTGGGTGCGGGTCCACGGGTGCGGGTCCGCGGGTGCGGGTCCGCGGGTGCGGGTCCGTGGGTGCGGGTCCGTGGGTGCGGGCCCACGGGTGCGGGCCCACGGGTGCGGGTCCGTGGGTGCGGGCCCGCGGGTGCGGGTCCGTGGGTGCGGGTCCGTGGGTGCGGGTCCACGGGTGCGGGTCCGTGGGTGCGGGCCCGGGGGTGCGGTCCGTGGTGCGGGTCCGTGGGTGCGGGCCCGCGGGTGCGGGTCCGTGGGTGCGGGTCCGTGGGTGCGGGTCCACGGGTGCGGGTCCGTGGGTGCGGACCCGCGGGTGCGGGTCCGTGGGTGCGGGTCCGTGGGTGCGGGTCCACGGGTGCGGGTCCGTGGGTGCGGGCCCGGGGTGCGGGTCCGTGGGTGCGGGTCCACGGGTGCGGGTCCGCGGGTGCGGGTCCGCGGGTGCGGGTCCGTGGGTGCGGGCCCGGGGGTGCGGGTCCGTGGGTGCGGGTCCACGGGTGCGGGTCCGCGGGTGCGGGTCCGCGGGTGCGGGTCCGTGGGTGCGGGTCCGTGGGTGCGGGTCCGTGGGTGCGGGTCCGTGGGTGCGGGTCCGTGGGTGCGGGTCCGTGGGTGCGGGTCCGCGGGTGCGGGTCCGCGGGTGCGGGTCCGCGGGTGCGGGTCCGTGGGTGTGGGTCCGCGGGTGCGGTCCGTGGGTGCGGGTCCGTGGGCGCGGGTCCGCGGGTGCGGGTCCACGGGTGCGGGTCCGTGGGTGCGGGTCCGTGGGCGCGGGTCCGCGGGTGCGGGTCCGCGGGTGCGGGTCCGCGGGTGCGGGTCCGCGGGTGCGGTCCGTGGGTGCGGGTCCGTGGGTGCGGGTCCGCGGATCTGGGTCTTTGAGCGCACTAACATTCACTTAATAAGACTCCACGCCGCCCACCAACACACACACACACGTGAATATCTTAGTATGAACAATAATACGGAAGACAAGATAAGCGGAGAGAGAGCTAAAGGCGGGTTGGTTACCCACCACACTGAAGGGATGTGAGGGCAGAATATGAGAAGAGAGAGATGATCCCCCACACTCCTGCCTTAACCCACTCAGCAATGGTAGGAAAAAAACAATCAGTCCAGGATACTACTGGATTAAGACGTCTGGGAATCACCACAACGATGTTTCGAGTCACCCCAGTGCCTCTCCCCCCAAATAAAAATTATATATATATATATATATATATATATATATATATATATATATCTATATATATATTATATATATATATATATATATATATATACATATATGTGTTTGTATATCACGAAATAAACACGTGATTAAGAATGTGACAATGTCAGACCACGGAGGAAATGAAACAGGACCAGCTTTACTTAAGGAAATTTCCTGTTTCATTTTCCTCCGTGGTCTGATATATATATATATATATATATATATATATATATATATATGGTGGCTTCCACACTGCAGTCTACACTAAGGAAACGAACATAGGAATGTGCCTTAATGCCAACAGTGACTGCCAAGACAGGTACAAGAGGAGTGTTGTCAATGCTTACGTCGACCGTGCTCTCACTCACAGCTCTGGTTGGAAGCAGGTCGACGAAGAACTCTGTAGGGTAACGCAGGTCCTAGTCAACAATGGCTTCTCTAAGGGTTATGTTGAAGACGTCATCAAAAGAAAGGTGAAACGCCATGCAACCTCTGAAGAGTCAACTAACACAACACCTATACCCCCTATTAGACTATTTTACAGTAACTTTTTTCCACAGCTCATAAAACGGAGGAAAGTGTCCTGGAAGATATTATTAACAGGAACGTTATCCCCACAGACACAAATCAGAAGATACAAATAACAATTTACTACAAAAACGAGAAAACGGCCAACCTACTCATGAAGAACTCTCCAGACACCTAACAGAACGCCTTGAAAGAAACCAACGTCGTCTATTCCTTCACATGCCCACTTGGGTACTGTAAGCCCCAAAGATCTCAGTATATAGGCAAGACAACAACGTCTTTTTCTAGGCGATTAACAATGCACAAACAACAGGGCTTCATCAAGGAACATATAATCTCTTCACACAACCAGACCATCACCAGAGAAGTCTTAACAAACAACACAGAAATCATCGATAGATACAGCGATATCAGGTGGCTTGACATCTGCGAGGCACTACACATCAAAAAGTCAACACCAGCAATCAACAGCCAATTAACACATAATTACATTCTACTCACTTCAAGGACCCCAAACCAGCACAGAAGCAAGAAGATAAAACATGCAATATACCCATTGTTTCGTGCTCTGTGTTTACCCATTGATTTGTGTCCTTTCACCTCACCCAAAAACAAATAAAAGCATGTCCTGAGTATGTAAAATTGTCTTTGTAAATGTAAGAAGTGTTCTTGCGAAACGCTTCTAGGCGTCAGACCATAAAGTGCGAAAATGAACTTTTGGGAGTTAATTTTTCAACTACCCCCAACAGTGAAGAAAAAGATAAGAAATATTAAAAAGATTCGTGTTAGAATCATTAAGTTTACCCTTTCGGTCATATTCAATGTTACGAACCCAACAACATGGTCAGAGTAGGGAGTAGTGACTTCAGCGCCATCTGTGAGTCGGCTCTAAACCCCCCTCGGGTTCGGACGTAATATGAACAATGCCATCTGGTGGTGGCTGTCTAATACCTGCAAATGGCTCAAGATTCCTGCCTGGGTCAGCCAGAGGGGTCGTTGTGAGTGACCTCTGGTGAGGTGACGCATCAAGACCAGCGCCACCTAGTGTGTGCAACAGAGCACAATGTCAACTCCCCAGTGAGTTAGTGGTATTTCCTAGTTCACCAGTATCAGCTAGGTCATTGATGTTTTTGTGTCCACAGAAGTGACGTCTGGGGGCAGCGGTACTGGAGACGGCAGGTCATCTTGGGCAGTCCACGGTCTCCCGACATGGTCCTGGGAAAACGACCACGTAAGCCGCTGCTGTTCTGAAGCAGTGTGGTAACTGCTAGTAACATAGTGTTGAACTGACGGCAGGGAGGTGACTGTAGAGTAGTGGTGGTAGCTGGTCGCTAGAGACTGCTGCCAGGGGATCGCTAACCCCTGTATTGTGACCCCGCTCAGCGTGTGGCTGAGGTACTCTGCCAGCCAGTAGCTGGAGAGCGGTCGTGGGGGTACAGGCACCTCATGACACTGTCAGTGGGCTGGCCCACGTATAGGTGAACTCGCCAGTGTTTCCCAGTAAGGTTGGATAAGTTACTGGGCAGTGAAGAAACACTGGGTTTTGACGAACTCTGCACGTGAGCACGTTTAATATCCTGAGTGAAAGGATATCCTTGTATATAGGTGTAGAAATAGCCTATCTGTTCGTTTATATATATTTAACGGAGATGGTGTATATATATATATATATATATATATATATATATTATATTATATATATATATATATATATATATATATATATATATATATATATATATATATTAGTTGGGCGTGAGTCCAATAAAGCGTGAGAAGTGGGAGCCCGGAACAAGAGCTGGAGCCACGACACAGACACACACACACATATATGGTTATCAAGTGAGACAAGCGAGAGACGCCACAGACACACACACAGGCCAGGACTCACCAGCGGCGTCACCCACACACACTACCCACCACCACCAGCCTGGCCAGCAGCCTGACAGCTCACCAGATGATTTAATTTTCGTGTTTGAATGGTTAATTTTGAAGGGAAATGAGCGTCTTGAATAAGCTTAATTATATGTTGGAGTGTGTGTTGGCGTGTTTTGTGTGGGTGTACTCGCCTAGTTGTGCTTGCGGTGTGTGTGTGTGTGTGTGTGTGTGTGTGTGTGTGTGTGTGTGTGTGTGTGTGTGTGTGTGTGTGTGTTGGCGTGTTTTGTGTGTGTGTACTCGCCTAGTTGTGCTTGCGGTG